ACCCAGAAGACGGGAGCAAGGAGAGAGAGAGAGAAAAGAGAGAGAGAGAGAGTGAATCGAGCGATAATGACAATAATAGTGCAAAATGATTTGTTCCACAAATCGTTGCTACACGCTTCAATAATAATAATAACTCTTATTATTAAAAAAAACTAAATAAATGATTTTTGAATAATTTAATATACATCAATATATTATATATTGTCACGTATATGACAATAACTGGCAATACATTAAATTAACAAATTATAACAATATTATATGTTGAGTATTTCAATAAATTGTTATTATTGATAATTTAGAATATTAATAATTTGTGAGACAAATCATAAAACACATAGCTATTGCATGAATGTACGATTCACATATATAAAATACTATAAAATTTAAATTATTTTATATTTTTGTTACGCCTCTCTGTGATATAATAAGGGCACATTACCCCATCCTGTATGTATATGTGCGTTATATAATCTTCGTATCTCGTTGATTAAAGCGAAAAAACCTTTGAAAAAACCTTGCAAAGCCTTCCCTATTGCATTTCAAAATGCACTCGAACGTACATCCATTGATTGTAAATTAATGAAAAAGATTAATTTTTATAGAATTATTAGCGTGTAATTAATTCTCTAAAAACTAATATTAATCTTTGCCAAAATTAAATAAAATATACGTATACATTTTTTGTTATGTTCAAAATATATAATAATTAGATGTATTAATATTTTATCTAAAGTATACAAATTATTTATTAAATATTATAATTTTTTATTACTATATATTTAATCAAATTTTAATGTTCTAATTAATAAAATAATAAAATAGTCTTAAACCATTAAACCAGCAAGTACATTCGAGATAACGTTCACGAAAGACATAATATGCATCGTTATACGATATCTTGTATTATATTATATTATATTAATTATATAAAAATCATAACTGCATTAACTTGTGGAAAATATTGTAATTTAGAGATGGTGAATAGTAATTGTACAGCAAACATTTATACGCTGTACACACATGTCTAATACAGGGTGTATCTCTGAAATAGTGGATCAGAATTTAGAATTTAACATATTTTATAATTTAAAATTATTTAATAATTATTTTCTTTCAAAATATGACAATTTAAAAATTTGTAATAATACCATATATAATTTTTAAATAATTTATATTTAAATATATTTAATCTTATGATTTAATTAATATTTCATTAGCTAAATAGTAAAATCTTACATTTTTTATAATCAAATAAACTTTAATAAAATTTAAATTTGATTTTAAATTTCGTTTAACAATAAAGTTTGGAAAATAGAAAAAGATCTAAAGCATCTAAAAAAACTCCATTCTAAATTTTCCAAAGACTATACTAATTAAAAGCACCCATTATTGGTCCACTATTTTAAAAAATAACTTTCATCCTGTATGTACACATACTTAAATATAGACGCGAAAAGTCATGTACTATTAATTGTACACGATCATTGTTAATCATGGTTGCGGTTCTATTTACACAATTCGTTTAATGAATAAATTTAAAAAAATTTATTTCGATTAATGGACGATGCTTTGCACTTTATTATTTCATCTTAGATTATCTTGTTAAGTTTCAAAAATATTTATCTTTTTTTTATCAACAGGTAGTCAACAAGTTAGTAAACATAAAATTATATAAATTTTTTATGCTATCTTATTTTTTATTAATGAAATATATAAAAAAATCAAATACGTAAACACAGATATAAAATTTATTTTATTGTCAATCTCAATAATTTAAAATATATTTTTTCTATCTTCAAAAAATTCTTTACTTTAAACATAAAATATTATTAAAATATATAGTTATTAAATTACAAGTATCTTTTCATATATTTATTATTTTCACATGGGAAAAATATATCAATAATATACTCAAATTGTTCAAAGAGCTTCATATATTTAAATTTCCATTAAAAAGTAAATAATTATGCTTAAAAATAAGTATTATTTACATATTACAAGATAATTCAATTTTTAGTGTTTAATTTAGCTGTACTTTGGAGATATAAAAACTTAAGAAAAATATAAAACTTTGAAGTTGGTGTTACATGATAGCCATTATTTTGAAAAGGTAATCGATTATATATTTATAACGATCTAAAATATTATTCACTAGATATTTCTTCTAAAAATAGATTGGGATAGAATCTCAGAGCTTCTATTGAATCATCTCTGCAGGCTTTGCCATGCTTTTCTGTGACTAGTAATCGCTCACGTGCTAACAATATTGATATACCTTCTGATTGTGCAAGATCTTCAGCTGTCATAAATCCTTTTTCTTTTAGCTAAAAATTTTACATAAAAAATGTAGTGAAATAAAGTTGATTTTTTTAATATATATTTAATGCATCATTTAGCTTACCAATTCCGATATACGATCAACGACAGTATTATCATCATGAGAACGAATTTGAAGAACCATAACACCACTATCAAAATTTCTTAACACAATAGGTAAACCTAAGGGTGCTAATTGTCTACTAGCGTGTAATAAATCTTCAGGAGATAAAAGTTCTAAACCTCTTGCTCTATTTACACGGCAATACACATCTGTAAGTGTCATCATGCCGCCCACTTCCTAAAATTAGATATATTTCAATAATTCTTAATTGGTCTATACAAGCTGTCCCGAGGCACTGGCATCGCACTTATCGCTCGTAAGAAGGTAGACAGAAGCGAGTAAATCAAAATGTCTTATACCATTTTGCGATATTCGCAATAATTGTTGTGTTATTAAATATTAAAATTGCACATATAAGAGCGCGCGGGAAGAAAGCGCTTGCCCGCCTGATCTATAGGATAGGAAGTGTGAGCAATGGCTGCTATCCTTCCCCTTACCGCGCGCGCTCCATCCTTCCGCCGAGTGCCAAGTGACCGATGTCGACACACTGAGCCGTCCTATGGCAGGCAGACAGACGCTTTTTCTCCGCGCGCTTTTATTTGTGCGACTCTAATATCTAATAATGCGAAAACTCCCTTCTACCTTCTCACGAGCGATGATACCAGTGCTTTGGGACCCTGTATATTCAATAAACATAAATTGCAAACCTTTATAGGCTCCTCCAAGATACATGCAAGTTGCTTTGCTAATTGTTCAAAGTACTCGTTGCTACTTTTGTATGCATCTCTCGTAACTGGATCATCAATACCTAAGCTCATTAAATAAGCTTTAAATCTGACAGTTTCATCCTCTGTTATATCTCCTTGTCTTGCCTGCAATGATCTTGCATTATGAACCTCAATCTGTCAGCTTTATAAAGGAATCATTGAAAATCACCCTTATTTTAGCTGAAATGGTCTTTGAAATAGCCACCATATCTTTAGCCATATCCATAAGTTTTGTAAGATCTTGAAATGCCAATGATATATTTTCATCAGTCTCTTTCTGCTTTTCTTGTAGACTTCTCTCAATGCCTATAATACCGGTTCGCGTTTTTATATGAGATAGCAGTTTTGCATTTCCTTGATTAGTATGTGTATCAGATACAATTAATCCAGTAGCAGGAGTGAATTCCCATATTCGTCTCATAATAGTATCAGACAAATGTGTTATAAAATTTGGATCCAGACCTTCTTTAAATGATAATTTCACATAATTGTACAAACTGTTATCTGCTGGACCAGGCATTTTATCTACAAATAGATAAATTATTAATTCAACCAAATAATTTATAAATAATTCAATTATAATTCAATTATAAATATAAAATCAATCAACTTCGCACCAACAGCAGGTTCAGAAAGATGTAACACAATCTTCTTGCTTCGTCCAAAGGAAAACGGTCCGGGATTTTCTTCTTCAAAGAAAACAATGTATCCTAGTGACAATGACAAACAGGTATTACCTCTTGGTATATCACCGGGTCTACCCCAGAGTATTCTGTGACTAGTTAAGATTAATTCACCACTTTCGAAATTTGTCTATCGAAATAAAAAGTTATTTTAGTATGAATATCTTTATATATACGACTCAAAATAAGAAAATAAATTAGAAGATCTAAAGATAGCACACACTTTTCTTCGAGCCACTGTACAGAATTGATCCTTTCAGGCGCAAATAGCAGCCGTACTGTTATTACCTTTGTGTCACCATCATAGAGACGTACGGCCATATCACGTCTCACATAAACCTCGTTTGGCATAAGCCGAGAATCAGCATACTCGAATCTATTCATCGTGGCTTATTGTAAACTGTCGTGAATCGTGAACTGTCAAGCAAAGGCAAAAATTATATCTACTCGTGTGATTACCATAAACTAAGATTAATTTAGATTATAGACTCATACAACGCAAATATGCGATTCAACTATTTTAATCAATGAGCAAGTTTACAATGTTCAACTATTGACAAAATATTATTAAAAATGGACGATGTTGGATGTGTTCGGGGAGCTCACTATTAGGCCTCGTTTACAATGCGTCATGTATCAGTGTCGTGAGTCGTGAGTCGTAAGAACGGGCCAATCACAATCAAATATTCTCTCCACATTCGTCTGTGATTGATTCGTTCTTACAACTCACAATCCACGACACCGACACATAATGCATTGTAGACGAGGCCCAGCAGTTAAATAACAATTTTCCGAAAAATGGAGAGAATAATGTTGGTACCACGAAATCCTCTAAACAAAATAATTTTAGTTTCTGGATTAGTAACACATTCAAGTAATAATCTGTTGGTTGCACATCCTTTTTGACATATGTGCGGGCATGTACGTAATAAGTATTATATATCAGAATGTAAATATAAAATACATTATAGTATTTTATTAAAATAAAATTAAATAAAGCAAATAAGTGAAAACATAATAAGTGAGAACATAAAAAAGTGAATAAGGTGAATAAAGTGAATAAGATGAAAAACAATGTTTTTTATTATTATTATGGTAGTATATTATTACAGTAGTATATTATTATATAACATTAATGTATATAATATTTATCATTGTTTTTCACCTTATTCACCTTTATGTTCTCACTTATTATGTTTTCACTTATTTGTCTTTATTTAATTTTATTTTAATAAAATACTATAATGTATTTTATATTTACATTTTATATTTACATTGTTATGGAAATCAATAGATTATTTGAACAATGCTACTAATCCATAGAAGCTAAAATTATTTCGTTTAGAGGATTTCGTTGATACCAACATTATTCCCTCCATTTTTCGGGAAATTATCATCTAACTATCTCTATATAAATATGGACTGCTAGTAACTCACTTTATTCGTGACACCAACATTAATTTGAACAGTGGCGCTACCATGTCCCACGAACTAAAATGCGTGACGTCATTGAAGCGTAAATAATTGATCAGTGCATATCAGTTCATATCATTTCATTTACGACGATCATATACGAAACTTGCATATTCTTGAAAACCACAAATAGAAGTTAATTAAATTGATTGCACAAACTTATTTAAACTTATTTAATAATGTTAAAATGCCGTACTTTGGATCGTGCAAAACAAAAAATAAACATAATTTTTTCATTCGACACACATTGACAAAAATTGTTATATTTAAAGGATAATAAATAATATTTTTATATGTTTTATACTTCTTTTTAGTATACGATTTTATAATTAGTACACGATTTTATAAATTATTATATAATTTTTATAAAATGATAATAAAATATATCTATAGTTTACAAAAATGAAATCCTTATTTCATTTTTAAATTATCCGCCATTTGGGATAAGGACACGAGGCAGAACCTATGGTCGCAGTCCGATTCATGCTCAAAGCTCATTTTTGACGTCATTCTATCTTTATTGTTCATTAGATGTAAAACAAGGATAGAATGACGCCAATAATGCTTTGAGCGTGAATCGGACCGCGGCCTAAATCTCAAAATATCTCGATTCAATGTTGGTGACAATAGGCACGCTTTTAACA